AAAATTGAAGGATGAGGGGACGCTGGACGAAAGATTGGAAAGATTCTTTTCGAAATGTCGAGTTAATCCGAATCCCAATGCACCAGATGAAAAGTCACCCGCTGGAGCCCTCAAAAGTCGAAGACTGAGAACCACCCTAGATTTGATCGCTCCAAAACGCCCACCGGTACGTCATACGAATTCGGTGATGGTAGGTCAGCACAACAGGCAGTATAGACCACGGCACAGGAATTTTAGAGTTGGGAACGCAGCGTGCGTTGTCTCTCATCGATGGTGTCGAATCAGCTGGTTACCACGTCGAGTCCTGGGACGACATGGCAGAGTAATGTACGATCTTCGCGTTGGTAGGCAAGCATGGTTTCGCCATGCCAACCAACTGTGACCGCGGATTAAACGATTCCAGAGATGCGCGACCCCAAGCCATTTGATTTCTACGAAATGTTATATAGTTTGCAGCCAGACAACATACGCAACTGGCGCAACAGACTGAAAGTAAATAACAACTAAGGCCAAAACGGATAAGATGTGTGCAAGCCTTACAGATCGACCCCGACGGAAGACCTACACAAATATCGGTCCGAATATTTGAACAAGGGGGAAACGTTAGGTCTCAAACGACATACTCCGAGGAAAATTTCATTATATGAGAAGCAAGTCGAGTTGGTTACACTGATTCAGGCCAAATCATGTAACTTACGTGAAAAAATACAGAATTCCACACAGATCAAAGTCAAATGTGCCCAGAAAGGAAACAAACTAACTTGTTCAGGAAGGTAAGTGCGCAATTTCCCTCAAGCAAGTGTTTTGTATCAGAACAGCCTTAGCTACAATCAGAGCAGTGTATTTCCGTGTCGTAGAACATTTGTTACTGTCGCTTGTATCACGCCACTCACACGTCCCTTGATTGCTTGAGAACTATAAAATCAACCGAGCGCACAACTGTGATACGAAATGTAGCAGTGTGTTTTCGTTCCACGTCGACCTGGTTAGTGTTCGCCAAGATACTCCTCGTCGGAAGAGTTGAATTTTGGCTCCCGAGACGCAACAAAGGAAGCAGTAAAGCCGTAACACCAAAGACCTAACAGTAGGGAAACTCCCATCCGAGTAGCCGCGCTACCATCAAGCGGATTACGGATCGCTACATCTGGCCACGCATGCTGAAACACTGTATTACCTACCAGAATAGCAAGATACGTCGCCACACCATCACTGTACCTGGAACCTTTTCTCTGCCTGATGCTCGATTCAGGCATATCCATATCCGCATCGTTGGACCTCTACCGCCATCCAACGGTTATATTTACATGTTTACATGTGTCGATCGCTTCACACGTTGGACACACGCAGTGCTGCTGTGAGAAGTCAGCCGAGACGGCGACACGAACTTTCATCGAAACTTGGATATACGTGTTTGGCACGCCGCCACTATCACCACGGATTGAGGACCCTAATTTACTTCTGCACTGTTTCGCGACCTTAACCGCATGCTTGGTTGTTCTCATTTACGCACGACAGCATATCATCCGGCTGCTAACGGGTTAGTCGAGCATTTTCACCGCCAACTCAAATTCGCACTCACTGCGACGCAATCGAATACCTAGTGTTCGGAGCGTTTACCGACCATTCTCCTCGGGATTCGCAACACAGTGAAGAAAGATGTCGGTTGTTGTCCCTTTAGAATTAGTCTTTCGTACGACACTGAGAGTTCCGGGAGAATTAGTACTAGATTCCACGGTCACTGGCGAAGTCGATCCTACGTCATGTGTTGCACGACTAAGACAACACTTCGGCGCCATACGTCCAATACCACCGCGATTCACTTCGCGAAACCACCACATTCACCCCGACTTGCACACGTACCCCTTCGTTTTCGTACGCATCGATGCGGTTCGCAAGCATTTGACACCGCCTTACGAAGCCCTTTCAAAGTCATCGCTCGCAAAGAGACGTATTTCGTATTGGACAGAAATGGTTCTAAAGACTGCCAGTATGGATCGCCTGAAACCAGCCTACGTTGAATTCCAGTCACCGCAACAGACTCCCGACACTGACGCTGAACAAACTCCGCCACAGAGCACTCCACCCACCCAACCGATGTGCGGCTCCAGTGTTCCCTCTCCTCCCCAACCAGCACCTGTCACAAACTCAGACACACAAAAGCATACACGTTTTGGACGTGCAGTTATTCTTCCTTCTAAACTAGCTACTTGCGTCAGATGGCACATAACGAGCGTTTATTTTCTTGACTCAAGCTCTCAGGGGTGGGAGTCCTGTAGCTGCAACGAATTTCCTCGATATTACATGAAAATGGATATTCAGAGAAGTTCACAGCAAGACATTCAAAGGCGAATTCGAGTACTAGTGTTCATAACACTACCATTCAAAGGCGACCAAAATGGCAGGAGATTCTGATACCTTCAGCGTCAAACTATGAAAAGGTGTTATTACGCCGCTGAACTTGTACTTTTGCACAAGGGTAATAAGTTGTTGTTTAAATCCAACCTGGACAGGCCAGACACTCGAGTTACCGCATTAATCATTTACCTGTTTCACTGTACTTGCGGTAGCGAGTACGTTGGCCGAACTGGGCGAACACTGTCCACAAGGATTTCAGAGCATATTCCTTGAAACCTGGTCGCGAATGATCATATGCTACCTGCCAGTTCGATTTCCCGACACATGCTTGATTGCTCCATGTGTGAAAACCCTCGTGAATCATTTAGCATAATCAACCAACAGAGCGTCGCCTGCCTGCTTCAGTTCACTGAGGCTTCTGCAATTAGGCGACTGAAACCCAGTTTGCGTAAACAGGCCGAGTTTGTTGCCAGTCTCACCCTGCGTTGGTGAGGCTGGTGGCCACATTCCTCTAGGCGGAGTGCCGGCCAGCATCAGATGAACTTTGACCGTAGCCCACTTTGATGAAGGGACTCTCGGCCGGGTCGTATGCATTGATCATACAGCAAATCACCGACGCGTATGGCAATCGGTATCTATGATGTACGCTCAGGAACGCGTACAATTTGACCTTAGTTAGTTAGAACGGCGTGTGACATGTCTTCTCACTATTGGTAGCTCTCAATGTGCTGCATAACGACCGGTTAACAACACGTGGTCTATCACTGCAACGAGGACCCACTGTAATCGTAGTTTACAGTAATTATTGCTATCCCCGAGTGAACCTTCGCAGAGCCAGAGGCAATTCTAAGTGAAAGCCACGGTGTACTAGACTCGGGATGGCCTCATATTGCTTTTAAAGAAAAACATCATTGAACCTTAACAAAATATATCAGCGGTGTTGAACGGGTCACAGATCGAGTAGGTGCAAAGCAGGTGTAGAGTTATTTCGTACATGCTGCATCATTTGGTGACAGTGTTGCAGCGTCACTCAAGCATATGCTTCTGCAAAAACCCGCTCCAAGAACTGCATCCTCCACTCACTGTTACTCAGTACGCCATCCGGATCCCCTCGGAGCATTTCGGACTATCGTCGCCTCATAGTTTTTTAACGTAGATCCTATGGATACTCCAAACGCCTTCGAGCGGGTTCAGTTGCGGAGAGTGCGGTGCCAGTCGCAGAAGTCATCCTGAGCAGTAAAGCACCTCTTAGAATATACGCTCGGGATCAGTGTGCTAAGGTGCGTTATCACAAATAATGAGACATCTTTCGACGAAATGGATGCAATTGGTATCAAGCAGTAGCCGCATCCACCGCGCACATCCTTTTTTGTTATCACTGCCCTTTGAACAGGATATCCGGGCAATCCATCCTCATTCATCGCACTGATCAAGTGCAGATTTTGTCCCCGAGTGTTCGGCACCGTACAGTGCACACGGGTGCCACGTGCTGAACGTCCTCTTGTGCGAGCGCAGAACGGATTAAAGTTTGTCTCATCTATCCATACTGCTCGCCATCTTGCTTCCAAGTTCATGAACTTCAACACGTACGCTCTCCTTAGCCTTTTGCTATCCATCGTATTCATGGATTCCGGTATTATATGTAATTTCTTCATTGTCATGAGGCAACCGTCTAGGCAGCGAGCGATTGTGCTGACGCTCATGTCCACCTCGAACTCCCCCTTCAATCCTAACCTAGGAGTTTCCAAGGTAACCGTAGGGTTCGATTCCACCCATTCCACTAAGCAATCTTCGTGACTATCTGACAGACGCTTCCGATGCGACGCGCTACGGTCTCTTGTTGGCTCTTTCAATTATAATGTTCTAATCCAGCTTTTCCATGTCTTCACATTTACCTGTAACAGAGATGCAATGCCTTTCCAGTCGTTGCCCTTTTCATGTCTTCAGGATAAGAGCTTTTACATCGGACGGATGACGGGCGTAATGTGATCTAAAGGTTCAAAAACCATATAAATCAAATTAAGTCAAACTTGGTAGGTGAACTATGAGGAAGCTTTTCTTTTCGCCTTGGCCGCTGCGTGCGGTTCCCGTACAACCAAACTGGAGGAAAGCAGAAGTAACAACTCCGCTGACCAGACACGGACCATCGCAACCGTATGAACGTTTCCATTTATAAGTCAGACGCGTGAAATCACCTAGACGTTTCGGAACTAAACTTATGCCCCCGCATGCCAAGCGCGTGTGACGTCCGCCGTTTGGCTATCAGGTTGTCCCGCTCAGGCCATTGGGCGTAATGACCCCGAACGTTTTGCACCGCTCACACATTGCACACGTACGTACACGTACGTAAGGTCTCTCATGCGAGGTCCACGGCTTACTCCCTGGATGAAATTTAGATGGTATTTGATTAAATTTTCTGCATTAAAGACGAAAGCTGATGAGTAAAAGATTAAACAGATTCCGTTAAGGCTGAAATCAATCGAGAAATGGTATAGATAATGGTGGTTGCATTGCAGTGGAGCCGTTCTGGCTTTTCCTTTATGCTTTAGCTTATGAAAGGTATGGGGTTCGCCCTGCCGTTCATCTGTATGCTAAATCTTTCTGTCCATAGATCATTCTTTGTAACATTTATTTCATCGTTCCAGGTTTATCAATTTCTGATCCCAGTGAGCGCAGTCGATACTCGTGGTCTACACTACAGTGGGCCGATGTACGCGTTCACGTTTGCTACGAAAGTTCTCTCTGGTCTTCGGCAAGCTGCATGGCTTGTGCCGAAAGCGCTGGTCGCTGCTTTTTATGGCCATCATGTGCCTCCAGACGAATCACATCGGGCAGTGCTCCGAAGCTCGACTGCGATAAAGCTGTGGTATGTTGTGCGATTCAGAGTCAATCTCTTCTGACAATTCGGATTTTCTTATACTATGCAAATATATATATATATATATATGTACTATGCAAAAAGTTGGGCTAAATCGCTAGGTAGACAGTCGACGACGTGGTATCAAAGTATGAAGAAATGGACTTAGAGAATTGGTTAGGCTGGTGCATTCTGTCTTCATTTATCTGGGTGAATGGGGCAGTTGTTGTTGCGGCACTGGCTTCCTGTGGCTGTTCTCTGTTCCATTGACAAGTACAAGCGTCAGTGAATACTGCGAATCAGAATTGTATTTGCGCGTTTGTTCACCTCGCTGCAACACTAGCTACCTCCGGGTAAATCAAGTGTCATCCTTTTCTTTGTTGGTGTGCCTTTGGGTTTCAGCCCGTTTTTCTTCAGGTGAAGCCGGAATATCTGGGCGTATGGGGTTGCGAAGTCTTGAGCCCATTTGAATTAGCTGAGGCTTGGCTCGGATCTAAGATTCGCGGCGATGCAGATATCATAAGGGGTGAGTCCGTCGTCCGTGTTTCACATTTCTTTTTTTGTCGGCGTCATTTCCTCTCAGTGTGTCTGTTCTTACGGTTGACTGACTCACCTTGTATCCGGCCAATTGTTTGCCGTTTTCGCTGCTCATTTTCTTGTTTGTAATCCGTTAGAAACTTTTTAATTCTACTGGCACCTCCTTATAACGATTGGCGGATATGCACATAGCCTTTTTATTTTCCCATACTCATCAAACTATCTCTGTTGGACAACCGTGTTGATCGCTCACCGTCCATCATATAACCTTGTATGGATTCTCCTACAGGTGTATTCGTTAATGCTTTCTGTGTCCACTCGCTCGCTTTCGGCAGCGATACTGAAGATTGATTCTCCGTTGCTCAGCGTGCGGCCAAAACGCCATCTCACTAGTCACCAGTCCCTACATAATCATGGTGCTCCGCACACAGTTGCAAAAGACGCTCACCGTTGTCCGTACGGTCAAAGTTAAGCTCATACTTAACACCTAGCTGAGCTACAGAAGAGTTCAGAAGCCTTACTTGTGCATTCATATCCCCAGCAAGTACTGTGATATCTGAACTGGACTGTGTAGTATTGTGTTCAATTTGTATAGTGTTCAGTGTATTGTGTTCATTTCGTGATCGAATGTGTCTTAGGCAGCATCAGAATCGCAGTCGGTGGGAGCATAAGGGGAAACCACAGGCAAACAGCGTCTTGTACTACTTCGTGAATCAGCCTTAGTTGATGTCGTCAGACGTGCTGCACACAAACGGCTGTTCACCGGAATCCAGTCAACCAACGATGACTCAGCCTTGGATCTGAGAATGATACCTACCCCAGCTTGACCAGAGGCTGCCGCGTCAGTATCTCTGGATGCGTGCAACCCATAGCGAGAGGATAAGCCGGGCACAGTTGATTCAACAACTCCGTGAGTGTCATTGATCCTCGTTTCGGATACGCAACACATGTCAATATCCAGTGTGTCCAAGGTGCGTGCGAATGCAACCTGTTGACCTATTTATCTTAGAGGGCCAACGTTGACGCCGCCAGGGAAACGGGACAGCGTGGCTTTATTAGGGACTGTTGCCGGTAGGCCTCCAGTGGGTGACGCGGGAAGGTGGCTGCAGATGGTTTAACTCCAGTGGCATTACGACTGCCGTTCATTAGACTGGGAATTATAGAAGAAAGGTTACTAATGGGAGTTGAGAGGGGAGCAAAAGAAACAGTTGGAAAAGAGAGAAAAGATGCGCCAGCAGTAGCATGTTTTCGCTTATCCGCCCTGCTGTATGTACCAGATAAGCCGACCGTTGATGAGCTGCGCGACAGCTGATGCAGCGTGTAATTAATGTTTGAAGCGATTGTCATGGTTGTATGTGGATTGAGATACTGCCAGGGCGCACAGACCTAGGCAGCAGGACGATTAGGTCCTCGACCAACGCCTTTGGCTCAAAAGTCTGTCCGCAAGGCAACGGGGAAGTGGCATTGATTTAGTTTTGCAGAAATGGACACAATGTCATTTCAAACCTCCAACCTCTAACCATTGACCAACCTGGTACGAGTAGCTCTCAAGGGGCCTGGAGGCCCCAACCAGTATAGCTCCATAGGTCGACGAGGTACGAAAACCGTCGCACCACATTTAGGTCCAGTCTCGTTGCGACGGCATACATCGATTATGTCAACGCGATGAAGGCAACCACCTCTCGCGATGATGTGCTGGTGTGAGAGTCGCCCGTTGGATGAAGCTGTGACTCACGATATCCCTTTACGCTTTTTATGATCATGTTGTAGTCACAGGGCCACACACACACACACGCGCACATTCGTCGTACCACCGAATTGTTTAAATCTGTGCAGGTAGCCTTTTGTGGGTTAATGAATGACTGCACATTATGACTACTTCGTGTGCTTACCCTTTTCGAAATCCCTTTTCCTTGGAACCAAGATATTGTTTCGAGAAATTAGCCGTTTTTCCAAAGTCCACTAATAACCGCACTTGTTTCGTACCTTCTGCGTTTGTGTCAATTAATCGTTCGGAACCCTCTAAAAATAATCATGTCCCGCTTCACAGTTCGAGTTCTGGCGGACACGGGCGATATCATTTGGGTGGAATATCAATCTCTTCAAGACTTTCTGGGCGCGAATCCAGATTTGAAGTGAGTCATCAAACATTGTCTTGTAGTATCTATTTCAGCAAAATCGCCGCAACTCTGTTTCGGATGTCATTTCGTTCACCTAAATACAAGAGCTTTTATCCGATATGATGCATGTGCTTGTTTCCTCTGGTTCTGCGGCACAATGGCTGAGGTATTTTTCATCTCTACCTAACGTGTATACTGATGATGATGATGCATCTGGTTTCATGACGTTATCCACTGCTTGCAAGCCCCCTCAATCATTTTCCAATGTTCTGCCCCTTTTCCCCTTGCCTCTTACCCTTGCGCTTCACTTCGCGTTCTACTGATCCACCTGCTTGGCATTAACGAATAAAACATTCCGAATATCAGCAAGCTTAAGTTTCATTTGTTCTCGTGCGACACAATCGCTTAGGTGTTTTCTTCATCCCCAGCTAACATGTAGAATGGATCATCATCATTGTACCAACGTCACTAAGCCTAAACTAAGTACGTCGTACGAAAACTAAACTAAAACTACGAACAGATAAACCTAGACTTAACGCACGGTCTGGGCAGAAGAAGAAAACGTATTATCCTGTAACCGTGGTTCTATAAGGCATAATAAATACAGTACATGACTTACGAATAGGTTTCGCAATCGTAATGCAAGTGGGCAGAAACTGTCCAGCGTGGGGCGGATCGAGTATTGGGGCAGTGTCACAGTAACATAATAATAAGAATGACCTTGAAACCTCAAGGATGTGTCAGTGATGGAGTGTAAGAAATAAATACACACACAGTAAAGCAGTGTAAATGTGCAAGATAATCAGGGAAAAGAGATACCGTGTCCTCAGGTAAGCAATCAAGTTTGGGGATACATCAAAGTTCCTTTTGGACTTTACAATCATCATCATCATCATCATTATACATGTCAGCTAGAGATGGTAAAACACCTCCGCTATTGTACCGCAATACATAAAGGAAATACATACATACATACAATACATAAAGGAAAAATAAATACGACAGTTGAATGCCAGCTGAACTACCAGCAACGGATAGGCATCGTTCCGGTAAGCTACCAGCCGGCTACTAGGCAAAAAGAAAAAATTATTATGTTTTACGCTATGAGATAAGATCGTAGGTGGAGGGGGAGGCTAAAGTGATGGGGAGGGACAAAGAAACTCACAGCAGGAACGCCACTGAGGTCGGCTCCTTGCCATATCAGCAAGTGTATCCAGCCAAACGTGTTCACCGTCTTTTGGACCCCAACCAGGGAGCCGTGAAGCTCCAACTGAGGCCAGCTCCGAAGTGAGGGCCTTCATTCCTCTGGACCAAGTCATCGCTTGGTCACCTCTCCTCTTCTTCCACCCACATCCCCGGTGAGCAAACAACGCACGTCAAGGGAGTCGGTGGGCTGGCATGCGCAACACGTGGCCCAGCCATCGGAGCCTGGTGAGTGAAATGACGGTGCTGAGCGGTTCATTTCCTTTTCCTGTGCCGTAAACAAGGCGTCGAACACGCTCGTTACTCACGCGGTGTTCCCACCAGATGTGAGCCAAACTGCGAAGGCACCGATGGTCGAAGGTAAGTAGCCTCTTCATGTCCGCCGATCTTAGTGGCCAGGTTTCGCAACCGTACAGTAAGGTCGAACGTACCGCTGCATTGTACACTCTACCCTTCAGGGCGAGAGTAATGTCGCGCCGTCGCCATAGGTGGCGAAGGTTAGCAAAAGCACTTCGAGCTTTCGCTATGCGGTTCGTGATCTCGTCTTCGATCCCAAGGGCGCTGATACAACTTCCCAGGTAATTGAATTTCTGAACGACTTCTAGCTGATCCCCACCAAGGGTCAGCACAGGGGGCGAACCCTGCCAATCCTGGAGGAACGCTTTGCACTTCGGTGGTGCAAAGCAAAGCCCGAAGCGACTGACAGCCAGTGCTAATCTGTCCAGCGCGGCTTGGCACGTCTGGGAGCTGTCACAGATGAGGGCAATGTCGTCTGCATACTCTAAGTCAAGGAGTCGTTCTCCTGGGAGTAGCTCCACACCTTCCAAGTCATGTCCTGTAAATACAATCTCCATGACTTCGTCAATAGCGAAGTTGAATAGGAAAGGTGACAGCGGGCATCCTTGTCTCACACCGCTGGAGATATTGAAGGGTGGCGACAGCCTGCTGTAAGCCCTTACTCTGCCCGTGCTACGCGCATATAATGCTTGGATAATATTTACATATTTCTCGGGCACACCTTTCCTGAGTAGACAATTCCAAAGGGCACATCGATCAACCGAATCGAAGGCACCTTTGATGTCGAGGAACACGACTACGGTGGGCCGCCAATATGTGTGACGGTGCTCCAACAACTGACGCAAGGTGAAGATGTGGTCGATGCGGCCACGACCCCGACGAAACCCGGCTTGCTCCTCACGAATCTGGCTTTCACGAGCGCCAGTCAATCTGTGGAGAATTATGGACGCGAGTAATTTGGAGGCGATGGAGATCAGACTGATTCCTCTATGGTTGCCGCATTCCGAGCGCGAGCCGCCTTTGAAGATGGGAACAATAACGGAGCGGCTCCAGTCGGTTGGGACAGTTTCCTGCTCCCACAGTTTCACTAGTAATTCATGCAAAACATCAACAAGAGCAGAGCCTCCGAATTTGAAGAGGGCTGGAGGAAGATCATCTGGTCCCGCGGCTTTGTTCAACTTCAACAGTCCGATCTCACGTTCGACTTCTGAGCGAGAGGGTGGATCCAAAGGGACAGCCCACGGAGCGGGGCGATCAGTGACCGGCGAATCGAACAATTCTTGCCGATTAAATTGCCTCTCAAAATGCTCAGCCCAACGCTCCAGACGTTTTGACAAATTGTGGATAGGCTGTCCACTCTCGTCACGTATAGTTTCACTAACACCAGGTCTCCTGCTGCCCGTTTCCAGTATCAGACGGAATAACTTACGATGGTTGCCAAGGGCAGCGGCCACTTCCATCTCTGACGCACGATGAGACCACCAAGATTCGCGGTCTCTCTTCAGGCTAGCACGGAGTTTTGCCCGGAGCTCTTTGCGAGTTTCATTGTGCTCGCTTCCAGCCGGAATATGCCGGCGAGCATCTATAAGTTCCAGAGACTGCGAAGAGACCCAATGTCCATGTTGTCTATTAGACATACCACATGAGGATTTGCCTGCTGCTAGTAAGGTCTGGCGAACATGTGACCAGTGACCATCAATTGTCTCCTGTGAGCGCTTGCTCAACTCGCATGTTAGCGTACTTCGATACGCATTCAGAACAGCTGGTTTTGTCAGTTGGCTGGTGTCAATACGCTCACAGCGTCGTCGTGGGCGTCCGCCAAAATGCATCCGCATGTCAGCACATACAAGTGCATGATCGGTGTCCACACATGTGCTCCAAATCGAGCGACAATTCTGGATGCAGCCTCTCCAGCGGTAACTTATCGCAATGTGATCGATCTGCGTGCAAGGCTGGTTCGAGGTTGGTGGGCGCCAAGTCACCCTTCGGCGGGTGCTGTGTCGGAAATTAGTGCTCGCAAGAAATAAGCGAGCATCTTCACAGAAATGAAGTAACCGCTCACCGTTATCATTACGGGAGCCTACACCGTGTTGACCTCCCAGATGCAGTTCATCAGTGGACAACTTTCCAACTTGTGCGTTCATATCCCCCGCCAGCACAACAGTGTCCGTGCTTCTTCTGTGGCGAAGGAGCTGGGTCAGTTGGCGGTAGAAGTCGTTCTTTACGGAATCATCGCTACAGTTTGTGGGCGCATAGGCAGCGATGATGAATAGACACCTGTTGGTCCCACGTGACTTCGAAGCTTTGAACGAGCCAGCCAATCGGACCGCACACATCCGGCTACTGATTGGAATCCAATCAACCAGAGCAGCTTCAGCCCGGGGACTCAGGGCAATACCAACACCGGCTTGGCCGGTGCTCGAAGCTGCATCGTCACCGGATAGGCGCAATGAGAAAATACTGCTTGCGTCCCCTGAAGGGGATCGCAGAGTGAGCACAGTGCTCGAGTCTTGCAGGCGAGTCTCTGATAAGCAGCAGATATCGATCGAGAGGGTCTCCAATGTTCGGGCAAGTGCTGCCTGTTGACCGATTTGTAGCACTGTGCGTACATTAAGGCATGCCAATCTGAAGGAGGATCGAGGGCTCCAAATGGAAGCCGATGAACTGGATTGGACCGCTTGGTTGGACATGGGCTTGTCGACAGGAGAGGAGTGACGCTCCGCGTTCACTTGTGAGTTGAAATTAGAAGGTAAATGCCTAGCAAAGCATGTTGGGGGGAGGGCCAAGAATCGGGGGGTTGAAAACTGGGGGGATATAAGTGAAGTTGGAATGGGACGGTAAGAGTGAAAAAGCGTAAGAGGGGGAATAAGAAGACGGGAAGGCTTGAGCAGTAGCATCCAAACCCCTATCCACCCTGCTCGATGCAGCAGATAGGGCACCGTTTATTATCCTCTGCGGTGGCCAGAGCATCAAGAAATTGTTTGAAGGAAAATTCATAGTATTGCGTGGGCAGGATACTGTCAGGTTGCCCAGGCCTAGACAGGAGAACGATTAGGGTTCTCAACCAAAGCCTTTGGTTCAAAAACCTGACCGCATGGCAGCGGATTTGGCGTTGGGCTACAAGGAGTTCATTTTAAGGAATAAGGAGCCACACATACTCAAACCCCCATCCTAGAGGGCCAGGAGGCTGAGTTTGTCTGGCCTCTAGCCATTGACCAATCTGGTATGAGTGACTCTGAAGGTGCAAAAGCACCACCCAGCGTAGCTCAATGGATCGCTGAGGCACACAAACCATCGCACCACGGTAAGGTCCAGCCTCATTGCGATGGTGTAGAATGGATGAATATACAAAATTTCCGGAATGTCCCTCAATGAACTAAGTCGGTTAACACAAGCGTGTAGAACAATGCAGGGCACTGCGTCTTTGTGAAAACTGTGACCTCTTACCGATTGTGTTTCTTATCTCGTCGAGAATTCCCTGTTTTCTCTTTTGGACATTTTGCCTTCTATGCTGA